TTCAATATTTAATAGTTGCAGACCAGGTTCACCCATTCATGGCAACAGTTTTTCCTGCGGGGGATGGTATTTACCAACAGGATAATGCACCATGTCATAAGGGTCTACGAGGAACTAATCCCCCCCCCAAATGCCAATACTGCTTACTAGATTGACGAATGTTTTCTAACAATTAATTAAATGTTTTAAGACACAATTCATGTTCGTTTTAATCATACTTTAAATTATTATCATATAAAAATCCTCTTGATTTGGTTGACTTCATATTGTGTCCTCAGACAAGTACACTGCTCAAAAAAATTAGGGGAGCCATGTGCTCCCCTAATTTTTTTGAGCAGTGTATATACATATATGTATGCATAGATATACACTGCTCAAAAAAATTAGGGGAGCACATGGCTCCCCTAATTTTTTTGAGCAGTGTAAGTTAGTTCCTTAACTTTTCGATGTATATTAACGTATCAGGAATCAAAACTTCTTTTCTATTTAATTCTTTAAACACTCAACTCTTATTTTAAACTTAATGAAAAGATCTCAATTTATCTTAGTACATTTTATAGATGATAGTTTAAAAAATAAAGTTTTAAGGCATTACTATTAAATATGTTATTGCAATCTGTTATTAATTTTATGGCATTTTTGTTATTTTAAAAGTCATTTTAAAGTTATTCGGGCTATGGTTATTACTCTATTATTAAACAACCGTTTCTTTGTGATATTATACTTAAAACTTAATTTTATTTCAGGAAGCTTGACAGTATGACTCATTGCATGCAAGTCAGTGTAAAAAATAAGTGTAAAAAGGTGTCATCGACCGATTTCTTCCTTATCCTGGTTGAGCCGATTATATCTTTCCAGAAGAGATTGTGCCAACTACTGAACAGCAAATAGGAAAAGTAACTGAACCCATAAGAAGAATCTAAGTCAAATAAAGTTGTTTTAAAATATCAAATATCCTTATATATATAACAAAACATCGCATTTGAAACAACTGTTTTTACACATTTAGAAATGATTCAATCCATCAATGAGTATATTTGGGTAAAGATAGAGACGCACATTGATAAAATTCTAAATCAAAATCGTCTCCTGCCAATAAATACTCGTTCGGAAAAAATATAAAAGGGAAAGCAGACTTAATTTTAAATTTTTTTAAATATAAAAACATCTTTTAATGCCAATCTTTGAAAGATTAGCTGCGATTGCTCAGGGGACAGAGCGTTTGCCTCCAAATGACGTAACCCAAGTTCGAATCCCAGCGAATGCTGGTTGATACAAACTCTGCTTCTAGCTCGCATTGACCATAGTACTGGCGTAAAATATCCTCAATGCTAGACGAATCATGAGTTAGAATCTCCTGCCAGCGGGTTAACCGTGAGGTTTTTGTGGTTTTCCTTTCCGTGTAACGCAAATGCGGATTATATTAATCAAAAAATCCTTCACTATAGTTTGTCCCAATGCTTGATCCCTTGTCTTCTGGACTGTGTTCAAAATTACAAGGCTATGGAGTTGAACATTAATAGTTGTTAACTCGGAATCGGGTCTGCTGGCTGCTTAACGCCAGTTATAAAATATTTGAAAGCTCAATCGTCATATGAAACAATTTTTACCCAATAATAAGTTATTTTAATAACAGTTATAAATTTGTAACAGTTATTTTAGACTGTTAAAATTCGTCCAACTTTATGCAGATCAAAATGTCAGAATAAAAAAAAATTCCACTTTTACAAAAAACGGTTCGTGTTCTATTTTTTAATGTTTTAAAGGTTACTATACTGTTTGGGCTCGAAAAATAAACAAAATTGAATAGCTATTAGTTTAATAATTTTCATTCCGTTAAAAAAATGTCAATAAATGGACATTTTTTTTAAAAGTTCAATAATGTTTTAAATGTTTAAGCTATGTATTCGTTTTAAACTCTTTCCAGACCAGCTGGAACCATAGGGTTCCATTGACGAGTTAAGGAGGTTCTGAGAGTAAAGACGATATAATAACACACAATGATTTTGGAATATTGAATTATATTTAAATTTAATTAATGAGCCTTTATTTATTTAATATTTCTATTGCTTTTATGAAATTATTCAAACTGAAATGCCAATAAAAGAGAAATGGCTTCTATTTTAAAAAGAAATATATAAGTTTTTTAATTACAATAAATTATGAAAGAGGCGTGTATTTTAAAAAAAATGCATTCGTATTTGCCACAAGACTTTTCAAATCAAACTAAATTTGCTAAGAAATATATTTCCCTAATAACAATTTTCAATGTTTATTATAACAGATCTCTTTAGTTTTCATTTCAAAGAAAACTATTATTCGCTCACTTTATTCGTTTCCAGTTTATTCTGTATACGTTACCGGCAAAGTATGAAATCCGGCATTATATATGATGCCTAAAACTAGCCCGCAAAGTATGAAATGATTTATATTTCACACATTGTCTAGGCATTATATATAATGCCGGATGCTATTTAGGCAAAGTATGAAATAAACGTCCTGATGAGGTTATTATGTAAATGATGTGCATGTTACTGTGAATGACCGAAATCGGTGGTTGTTGACTTTCACCGGTGAATGTTGACAATCACAAATTTGGTGAATGTCCGAAATATTTATTACATCCGATTTGATATTAATTTTATTCGTGGATATAATTACATTTATTCGATATTTTAATACTTACTGATGTTAGATTAGAAGAAACATCAGTGGTTGGAGTATCGGGCAAATATATATAGGGCAATGATACTTGATTTTAGGCATTATAGTATATAATGCCCGGCATACCCCACACTGATGTTTTTTAAGGTCAAGGGCCACTGCCCGGTATACATTGACATTCACCGGTGAATGACATTCACCGGTGAAAGTCAACAACCACCGATTTCGGTCATTCACAGTAATATGCACATCATTTACATAATAACCTCATCAGGACGTTTATTTCATACTTNTAAATGTAATTATATCTACGAATAAAATTAATATCAAATCCGATGTAATAAATATTTCGGACATTCACCAAAGCGACTATGTGATTGTCAACATTCACCGGTGAAAGTCAACAACGGACATGCACATCATTTACATAATAACCTCATCGGGACGTTTATCTCATACTTTGCCTAAATAGCACCCGTCATTATATATAATGCCTAGGCAAAGTATGTAATACTTCTCATATTTCATACTTTGCCTAAAAACGTCAGGCATTATATATAATGCCGGCATTTCATACTTTGCCGGTCATATATACATCAAAAACAAATTCAGTACTAAATTTTAAAAAAAAAGACTTAGGACTGTGAATGTAGCTGTAGGTTAATAAAATCTAATTTAAATTTATAAATCATAAAACTATGAAAAAAATTCACTCGTCCTATTAAATAATATTTCTTTATATACTTTTTTTAAAAATTAATTTAGGGTTTCACCGAATGAAGTTTGATCGAAAGAATGAGAATGAAGTTAATTGAAAAAAAAATCACTCGTCCTATTAAATAATCTTAAAAAAAATATTATATTATTGATAAATACGGTCACAATTATCTTTATATACTTTTTTTTTATTAAGTTTATTATTTTGTTAAATTATTCACCGAATGAAGTTTGATCAAAGTTTCAATGTCAAAATAATTTACAATAGAATTAAAATTTGCAACGGAATAAATAGCAGCGGTTCCCAAATGATGTTCCGCGGAACCCTAGAGTTCGGTGGTTTCGGAATTAAATGGGTTTCGAGAGTTGAGTACTTTTCACAGCCTCTGATGAGTTTTTAAACCTCTGTTATTTAATTCCTCTGTTGCCTTCATGCAATTATTTTAAGCGAAATGACAAAGAAATAGAAATGACATTTTTTATAAGAAAATACAATATTTCCCATAGATTGAATAAATTATGAAAAGAACAAGAATTTATAAATTATTACATTAATAATTCCTATCACGCTTTTCAAATTAAGATTTAAAAAAAAAAATAACTAAAGAAAATAAAAGAATTAAAAATTAAAAAAAAATCTCTTTTAAAAAATATGTTTCTATAATAACCATTATTCTTTTTCACACTCATACGTTCTCAATTTTGATTGGCTGTTTTGTGCGTTACTAACCGCAAGTCTTCTGTCATTGGCTACGTGTTATCATTTCACTCTCTTCTTATATTAGATAAAGATATATATATGGTAACGAATCAAGCTAATTTAAGATACAGTTCTCTTTTTATAAAAAACACATTTATTTCGCAACAACAAATACAGTATCGAAATTAAAGTACCCGTAAAAGGTTAGTAATCTTCATTCCTCTAATTAAATATTTAGAAAATAGTCTTTTATAAGTTAGAACGTTCACTATTATCTTAATAAACTTTAATTACAAAATCGGGATTCCGCTAAAAGAAGGTTGATTATTTAGGGTGAAAAATTGAGAACCGCTGCTCTAGACAATTATTTAAGAACAAGATTATAGTTTTAAATTCAAAACCTTGCCTTGAGTTTCAGGCACTCTGCGTCTTTTGTGCCAAACTCTACTGTGCTAAAACTGTAATGAAAGAGCTGCAAACAACACCCTCAATATGAACACTGACATGATTAGAATTATATATTTAAAACACTATATTGAAGATTTGATTGATCACTTGATTACGACTTGAGCAAATCTCTTTTGATTGATGGTACTTTTACGAGTTTGGAAAATAGTTTCGGCGTTTTAGAAGTCCTTAAACTGTTACTTCTCGTAAAGCTTACATAAATGTCAGTCTACTTAGAACTTCGCCATGTGTAACGAAATAACATTATTTCAAGGATTCTCACAATATATAAAGATTATCACGTTTCACAATAAATATGAAATATACGATAATACTCATGAACAATAATACTGCGACCATAAACGACACAGCTAAAAATATAGAATATAAGAAAACCGTTCGTGTTATTTCTAATATCGTGATTATATCCATAACTATAAATATTGAATACGATAATTGAGAGAATTTTTATTAGCAGTTCTAACGCCATTGTCGATACATTTCTTTTGGCTGATCACAATATCGACTCATGTAAATTAATTTAAATAGAAAAACATCGCAATATATCAAAATTTACAGACTGTATAATTCAGCACATTATTAATTCGTGCTGCGGCTCCCGCATGGACTTGCCGGAGTTCCTGCGATGTAAAATGCGTGCTTATTTAACTCGTGCAAAATTTCAATGCTAATAAATAAAATAATTTTCTGCAAAAAAAAAAAAAAGAAAGAAATGTAACGATATCTTTATAAAAATTTTTTTGATGATCATAAATCAAATCATTTATTAAAGTTAGCCTGAAATAGTTACCATTTTAACCATCCCCATGAAACTCTGAGACAAAAATATTCCTATACAGGAGTCGGAACAAGACGGCAAAACTTTACTGGGAAATAGAACGCATCTCCAGCCGTTTGGTGTTACCACCTTGTCGTGATGAGTGGGCATGCGTGTGTTAAGGACGCATTGAGCTATGCCGGTGGTAGCTTAGCTACTGGTAGGGCCTACCAAGCAGGATAGGTCAGTAGGGAGACACCAGACAAAGAGTAACAACCTGACCCTCCAGGTTTAACAACCCTATCTCGGAAAAACCTACTAGTTACAGAAACTGAATAGTGATGGCATGTCTTCGGATCATATAGCGTGGGTTCGACCCCCACTTCTGACATTCTTTTTAGTCCTCCATGTTCCCATAACAAATCAATACCTCTGGGGGTACTGGATTGGAGATCGATCGTTCTCTGATTCAGGTCAAAATTACGATCTGTGGATGAATGAATGGGTCCGCCTTATAAACAGGTGTGACGTATGATGTGGCGAAGTCGAATTCCTGGCCATAGATGGCACCACTGAAAATCAAGAATCGCACACTCTGCCTTAAATTTGCTCGGTTTCACCAAGCAGGCTTGTCCGTGTGGCATTAGAATCAACCAACCAACCGGATCAACCTCAGGGATGTTTCCCAGACCGTCGCCGAAATTCCTTTGTGCAGCTCTAGTGCGACGTAAATAAAGTATCTATCTAATATCGATTCTTTAAATGTGACAGTGGAAAAATTCCTATTAACTTCTCACTGCTTGTGTTCCGATCATACATTCTATGACGAATATTGCTTGTGTAGATGCGTTCGATCACACTTGCCATCTTGTATAAATATAATGCAGGTGCACACCTTCGTGATTAACTGACTGTACGAGCAATAAGCGTATGAGCTTGATTTGTCTCTGAAGCCAGAATAATCATATTAAAATTTATCGTTTTGCTTCCATATTCCGCATGCCATATATTTTAACAATACTCGTAAATCCTGCGACTCTTTGTAAAGAAAAATTCACTGCAGAAAATAAACTAGATAACACCCCGAATAACTAATATTCTAAGTTATAATTTAAGTACCTATCGCTAACATTACATTTAGTTATAACTAACTAGCATAACATACGAGTATAACATTAACTTATAAAGTTAGTTAAAACTAACTGTCCTCTTTATAACTTAAGTTGCAGAATCTGACACAAAAACTTCTCTCTATAAATATACCTATTTTTCAATGGATTCAAATTCTTAACTCTCAAACTATGGCAACTTAGCCGCAATCTGTAAATTAAGATCAAAATAGGCAAAACTTCGGTCGATTGTTTACGCTTTTTTTGTTAATTTCGCTTAATGCTTATTTCGTCTTATCTTTGGAACCAATGAAAAAAATTAAAACATGTGCACAAATTAAAAAAAGTTGTTTGTCCGAAGACATTCTATTTTTTTTAAAATCATATTTTATAATTATTTGTCATTTCAAAAAAACCTCAAAAAAATTGTCAATTGTAATAAGACACTCAAAATTTTTCACGACTTTTATCTACGTAATTTCCAATGATTAAATCAAGAATTTGAAAAAAATCGGTTAAATTGCCCTTGATTAAAAGATTTGAAACCGCGACTTCAATATGAAAAAATACGCAGGAAGTAAAATTAATAGTGAGACGCCATAACTTTTGATCGTCTTTAGTCTGGATAAGTGACAGTTAGATTAAAAGTTATTGTGCGCACTTTACACACTACTTTTAAGTGTCACAGCCTGATATTTCGCGAGCTGATAAAAACCACTAACTTCAAATTGTTTACTAGAGCAAAGATTTTTGCATTGTACTGCTTTCTCGTAGAAATTGCGTAAGGAACAGTATAACTGCACTGAAGTTTCCTTCTCTAGAAACAGGTTATATGCTTGGACATTAAAACCGGTTTCAGCTTGAATTTTGTTTTTGTTTTGTTCTACTGCATTAAATATTAATTTGTAACCCCTAAGTCATAATATTTTGACTTCAATTTTAGCAAGAGTTCAAAAAAACGTTATTTTCATAGAAATCATCATGGAACGAAACACTGTTGGAGTGGTTTTTCACTACTTTTATCTACGTAATTTCCAATGATTAAATCAAGAATTTCAATAAAATCTCCTCTGAGCACATTGAATTACCAGAATTAAGGTTGGATCCTGTGGTGGCAACAGGTATATTTTCTTTTACTGGCTACGAGAGTGATGTTATTCTGTGTGCATGTAATTACTGAACTTGTAATAACATGCACAGTTTTGACAATAGTTGTCACGTCACTATGTCGTTGTGTTCTGTACGGTACGGTGCTATTATTGAAGTATGCTCCGGAGACAACATACATGCGTCACATCCCGTTTGACAGGGAGGACACAATCGCACACCATCCATCCGCTTGCAGATCGTAATTTTTACAAGAGACAGAACACATCTATCTCCGATGCAATTGCCCAGAGGTATTGATTTGGTGCGGGAACTTGGAAGACTTAGTGACCCCGAAAGATATAGCGTGCACCAGTCACCATTTTATACATGGGGATGCTTGTGGCGGCGGTGACCGAACGCCAGGGGTCGAAAAACAGTTCGTCCTCGGCGGTCAAAAATTCCACGCAGACTACTAATTTCTAGAATCCGACGTCCGCGCGGACGGCCATTTTCCCGTTAATGTCCGTGATACATTTTCAATTTTTGTTATCTTACAAGAGTCTAGCGCCTCACTTCTAAAATGACCCTCTAATCTAGAAATACAGCAACATACTGCTCATGGTGGAATTGATGTTCTCTCTGTCTGGGAGTACTGCAGCGGTTGAAAGAGGCTTTTTAGCAATGAACATACAAAAAAACACATTACGTAAACGTACTGGTCTAAAACAACAAGCGTTTAACGCAGTTATGAACATTCACCTAAATGGAAAACCCCTTCCAGATTTCTATGCAGAAACCTCTGTAAATAATTGGCTTGATTGTGGAACTGCCAAACGTCATATTTGATTGATTTAAAAAACGCAGTACCCTCGGATAAATTGACATTCCAGATAACTTGACCTTTGTCATTTAAATTATTTCATAAAGGAAATACTAGGTTACTATTAGTAACCTAGTATATACTATATAATGTAATGCGTATTACTGTATAATGTAATCCTAGTAACTACTAATTCATTGTGCAATTTACATAAATGTTTGTAATAAATAAGAGAAAATTATATTTTTATTTATTTAGAAGCGACGGGTTAGTTTCAAAGGAGGACGGGTACATTGTTGGACAAGCCGTTCTAGGGGACGGGTAAAATTTCTGCGTTTTTTCGAGCCCTACCAGCCAGGCTATCCCGACCTCGTCATTGTGTCCGAGTGATGCACGACGTCACATTTTTATGAAGTTGTATAATAGTTAATTTTTTTTCAGTTGCTTACTGTATCGAAATAGTAAACTTCGTGTATTTAGTAAAGAATTTAAATCATTCACTGCATGTGGCTCTGCCAACAAACTCTGTATATGAGCAGTTATGAGTGTTAGGCTATGTTTCGAAGTATACGTCGTCACATAAAATGATTTTTTGAGAATAATATGCTATTTTTATAACTGCTATAAGTTTACAACAGATCAAGTTTAGTCTCTCTATATCCATCGCCCTCTATATTATTCTGCAAAACGTCTTTATAAAGAAAAGACACAGATTTGTGAAAATGAAAAGTATTTGTAGTCTAATTTTTTAAAACTTACAATGCTGCATTATCTGGGCTCATAACAATTTTCTATAACTGAGAATACGGCAGTGATTTTGATAGTTTTCATCCAAGTGAAAAAATGTCGCCCAATTGGCGATTTTTAAAAAAGTTTACAAACTTTTAAGATAAGTTATTTCTCCGTTCTTAAGACCAGATAATTCTTCACGGTAAGATGATAAATAACGGGTGGTCCCGAATTCATGGTACAAATTTTAAGGGTAGATAGATACAGGACGTTGCAAAAATCATTTGTTGTATAGGAAAGTATAGGTACAAGTGACGCGGTGAGGCGCAAATAGGGGAAATAAAAGAAAAGAGAAATGGAGTTATCGGTTGGTTGCGTTGTCCGTAGAGGGCAGTAGATGTCTAGCTGCCGCTTAACATCATGCATCTTAGTAGGGGAAAGCGCCATTCACAATTATGTTGACGTCTACGAAGGGAGACTTTACGTATGCCGAAAAAGCACACAAGCAGTCGTGCAAATGGTAACGACAGAGCTGCACTAGGAATGTATGACACGCAGTTTCCTGATCGACGAATGCCGGATCACAGAATTTTTCAGCGGTTACATCAACAGATTCGTTGCATGTCGCCAGACATAAAGCTGGTCGACAGAGAGCTGTACGCAGTCCAAGCCTGGAAGAAAGTATCTTATACGTTATGGTTGATAGACCGGAGTCAAGTACAAGAGCTGTTGCTTATCATGTAGGTGTGAGACATCAGACCCTTTGTGGTGTTAAACGAAAATTGCTTACAAGCCTTTCATTTCAGCCAGTGCAAACTTTGAATCCTGCAGACTATCCTTTCTGCCTGAACTTATGCCAGTGGGTAGTACAGCAATGTGCGCTGCAGCCGGATTTCATAAGTCAAGTGCTATTTACAGATGAGGCGACGTTCATACGCAACGGTGTCTTTAATTCCCATGTGTGGGCAACCGAGAATCCGCATGCAACGCGACCACATGAGTATCAATGATTCTGTTGGAATGTGTGGGCTGAAATTTTCAACTACTTTTTGACTGAAAATACTTACTATCGACGCGACTTAATGGCAACTGTTACCTTTTTTTCTGGAACAGGTGTTACCAGAACTACTGTAAGATGTTCTGATCCCACTTCAGCACTGATGTGCGCACTTACCTGAATGCTACGTATGGGGGGCGGTTTCCTACGTTTCTCCCCACACTACGTTTGGGGCGCGATGAATTTATGCGTGGTGGACCAGTCCTTTAGCCACCCCGATCCCCGATTTATTTTTACCGTGACATCTGAAGAATCTTGTTTATGCGACTCGACTCAGATCTCGTTGCTTGAATATCCGGAGCTGCTCAGCAAATATGCGCGAAATACCTGTCATCTTTATTTAAACGTGTACTCTCCACCGACGGTGTCAAGCATGTATTGCTAGTGGTGGACGCAATTTTGAACAGTTATTGTAAACATTACACTTGTCAACGACGCTTTCAATAAACATTTTGTCTTTCCTTTCGTCTATATTTTTTGTGTTTGCGCCTTACCGAGTCCCGTGCGCCCATACAATAAATGATTGTTACAATGTCCTGTACCTATCCTTAAACTTTGTTGAATTCGGGACCACCCTGTATACTTTAAAATTATAGCTTTGCTCTTCAATTGTAAGGTACTTAAACTGTGGCTTTTTTTATTTCCCTTTTCGAAAGAGTTACGCCAAGGAGTTCAGTTTATCCACGCGAGAATAAAATAATTAATGGTTTTAGTGAGTGGACAATAAAAGCAAGACAAATAAAATAAGACAGAAAAAACTTAATGAGAAAATTCTTTACATTACATGTTGAATGTGATTTGCATATTTACAGTAACCTGAATCGGAATTTGTCAACAAACAGAATAAGAAAATGCAATTCATAGTTGCATCAATGCACAGTTCTGTTCACAGAAGAATGCAAGAATTTGACTTCATCAACAGTTCTCAACAGTCAACAAAAAAAAAAGAAGGAAAAAAAGTGGATCGTTTTATTGCTGGCTGCGTATATATCTTATAATAGTTCCTTCTATATTTATATTATACAGATTGTGCAGTAAAGATTAAGTCTCTTGATTGGCATATGGCACCACAGAAGGGGGTCATTTCTTCAATCATCGTCGACCCTAGAAAACAAAAGTTCTGTAAAATATAGAATAAAGAAAGTCCTCTCTCGCCAACTTGAGTGAAGAATTCGGTTTAGAAATATCAGCAAAAGACCTTGCCAATGCACTCCTTCTCCGATGTCGCGAAAAAAATCTCGAAAAATATGTGAAATGAACAGAAAAGTGTGCAACAAGTGAAAACTAAATTTACTATGATGTCAGCAGCATCTCCGAAAAAAGTCCATAGAACGGCTTTGGAGTTTTAAGTACATAAGTTTTGGCAAATGTTTTATTACAAGAGTATCGGTCCTGGAGAGGAGAGTACCTGTCCAATAACCAACTTTGGAGTTGAGCACGAGTATGCTCCAGTCCACAAGGGGAGCCGTATATATATTATTTGTCAACAAAAACTACACTTTAATTGCAGAGTTGACCCTCATCTTCGTCTTCCGTACTCCCGCCGGACTGACGGTTCCTTTGAGCATTTTGATACAGTCCTGCTCGCAGAGCACGCTGCCGTTGACGAGGTTGTAGCGGTCGCCGGGTACCAACTGATTGTGGCATTTGACGCAGGTGAAGCATTTGAGGTGGTACACGTTACCTTGAGCCCGCATCACATAGTCGCTGGCGGGAATCCCTTGACCACAGGCACTGCATGCACCACCGCTCCCAAATAGCCTAAAAAGACAAAAAGAAAATATGTTACAAATGTTATACAATATAAAATGTTACAAAATAATTATTTTAAACAATTTATTATGAAGGAAAAAGTAAATTGGCTAATGGAACACAGAAAACTTGCACCGCAAGGTACCACTATGGGTAGAATATTAGGTAATGCGAAATGGTTATGGAATATTAGGTTAGGTACAGGTAATAGAAGCAATAACTTGTAGCAATATAAGGTACAACTATATAGTACAAACAAAATTTATACTTAAAACAGCAAAATAAATTATTCAATTTCATTAAGTTAATAGCATAAAAACCATTCCATTAAGATATTGAAGATTCACTGGTTAAAAATTATAAGGTGAAGTTGATTTTCCTGTATCATAAAAACAGATGAGTAGACATCTTGATTAAAAATGGAAAGAAAAAAAATATTTGTGAACAAGAACTTCAGTTCAGAGAGAATTTTTTGAACGCAATCTATTGTCAGCCCATGTCATTCAATGCAGAAAATAAACTTTAAGGATGAACATTAATCCTCAAAATAAATAGCAATAAAACAAAAATAATTATTTAAAAAAAAAACTATTTTAATGGTCCTTTAATTATAAGTCTCCTAATCCTTGAAAAATGTTCAAATGTATATGTCATTAATGTGTTTTTATATGCAGACAACAATAAATATTTAAAAAATTAAAAAGGAAGAGCGGGTAAATAACACAACTATGAAGCAGCTATAAATTTCGATTCTTAAATAACTAGTAGTAGTACTTAAAAGATTTGTGATTAAAAAGAAAATTAGAATTCCTAAAAGAGTCTATTGCAATCAATTTCTATGTAGGACAAAAGTTTCATTACAACAACGACACAAAATCCAAGATTTTCAAAACTTTAATAAGATAAAACTTTTTAAAATTCCAATTTTATTGTTTTGACAGTCATCCATTACTTTTAGAAGGCAATTAGAACGACGTCTTGCTTAATGCCAGCATCACAGGAGACGGAAAACATTTGAAATTGACGTTTAATGACTAATATTCATCACTCTAAGCAATATTAATTAGTGAGAACGTTCCACGACGACTAACAAAATGGCGCAGTTTTGCCAGCAATAAACTTGATGGGCTTTCGAGATCTGCAGCCCGAAGTGCGGGTCCCCTGGAGGATTTGTTGCTCGAGGCATATTTTGGAAAGGAATAAAATTGCCAGCTGGAGTACTTAACTAAATGCTTCATAAGCGCTAATAGTGATATCAATATTGCCACTCAAACGATTTGCGTCAAAAAATCAGACTATCGCAACGTCGTTAGAACGTATGGAAAATGGTCCCTCGTTAAAGATGGATTATCTGGCGAAAGTGCTGCGGTAACAGTTACGAGGCTCGATTTGTAGAAATGGGACATACGGGGACGAAAAATACTTCAAAAAGTATTTATTCTCCATGCATGACTCAAAATGTTTGTTACTAAGGGTAAAAGACCCGAGTTAAGTATTCGAACAAACAATTTTTAAAAAAATATAATTCGACCATTTATTTGTAGTTATTCACAATACATAAGAATTTACAATACATAAAAATAATTTAGAATCAAAGCATAAAAAGGTTTTTTACACTGCGAAGATATTTTTTTCGTAGTAACAGAAACGATATTTTTGTATATTTTTTTTTTGGAGGTTTAAGAATAACAGCAAAGTAAAATATCAGAAATGGGTGAACCAACACTTTTATTATAAAAAATTCAATAGATTTCAAATTATATTTTATTTAAATCAAGAAATCATTTTCCAAAAATAGTAAATTAAGTATGTAAACTGTAATAATGCTTTTATGTCGTATTACTATTCTTAGAAATATTAAAAAATCAAAACAATTGATTTAATAAAAATTAACAATCAAGAGGTATAAAGTATCGGGATCATTGTTTTCAATCCAATGATCAAATCAAGCATTGATAAATTTTTGAAAATGAATGGGGAAAAAATCTTTTTTTAAACTACTTTTTTGGGGATTTTATATTTGAGTGATAAAATTCCGATAATCAAACAAATTTTTTAGTAACTATTACACTGTTTTTTTTGTAGTTAAAAAAATACCAAATTATATTTTTGTTTGTAATTAGTGTCAAAAACAATATTTAAAAAGGACACAGTTGCCCCATCTGCGTCAGAGGGTGAAGTCAATAAGCAATAACACTAAATTAATGCATTTGTAGTTTCAAAAGCTTTCTATATACCCTACGCAGGAATCAAAATTCGTAGAAATTACGTAAGACCCATAGTATTGATATTCTGTAACATGAAAAAATAAGATAATCGGCAATCAAGAATACACTTTCGTTAAAATAAAAATTTTAATTAATTTTGATTTTAACCACTTTTAAAATAAGCAATTTCAGTGCAAAATAATCTTAATCCAACCAGTCTCTCCCAAGAAATAAAACCTTGAATCCGATGAATGCTAATAATTCAAACAACTGCATTACACGAATGTTGTTTTCTGATTAGAAACATAAAAGCTTATCAACATTCATTTTCCGTAAAACATCTTTCTTTGTTTCACATCCCATGCTTCTAGCCTAAAATGATTTAAGCATAAATAAGTAAATAATCACATTACGAGTTTCTCATTTGGTAATGGAATCTATGCAATCTTTTTTTTTCATCCACGGATGGTGCTCGACATTTAATTGCAATATGCGTACATTATTACAATTACGGATGGTTCTGAGGCATTAGAACATGGGGACCCATTTTTCAGTGCAAACGTCACTGATGCACTACTTTTCAATTAATGGCCATAACCATCCGATTACTGATTAGGTCTCCAACTCTATCACCTTTCGCAGGGCACTGAATCCATTACGTAAATATCGGCGAAAGCCGAAAAGGCTAACAGAAGAAAAAAAAATCCTTTTTCGTTCAGCCATATTCCTCTTTTATTATTTACCATACCATTTCTAAATTGTTCCCCATTTCTCTCTATTTCTTCGGCAGAGAAAGAAAAGAGCGCCCAAGAACCTGTAGGAGTCCATTAAAAAAATTAAAAACCCAGAGCCGAATCATATCCCTTAGGTGGGAGGGGCTTTCTATCTTAACGTAATTTGGAAGCCTTCCCCCCCCCCTTCTGTATATGAACTGAAATAAGAAGTGGATAGAAAATGGGAAAAAGGTATTCCTTTTCCCGTTTTCCATCTGTAGAAGCTAGGCGCAACAAATCATGTTAGTGTCAGCGCAGCGCGTTGTAAATCCCAAAAATCCATTATCTAATTTCATTAATTTCGTCTGCAGCCATCCAGCTAATAGGTTTGTAACATTTAATGGGCTTTCATCGATTTATCGGCACCTTCCTCTAGACATCGGCATCCCATCCACAAAAGGAGGAGCCTCCCTCCTCTACCTGAGTTATCCTTTTTTTTTTCTTCCTCCTCCCTCTTCTTCCGTTTTTGAAAGGAACCATATTTTCCCGGTAAAAACGGGAACTAAATAGATCGTTTATTTGTTTGAGGAAAATGTTTTCAGTTTTTTTTACATACATATTTTTTCTCTCTCTTTTCTCCTTTTTTGGATTAAAATTTAAATAAGTGAGAAAGTCAAACATGTCGTTGATAAAAGGTTAGAATAAATGCATAGCTTTTGAGCTAAACATATTTATCACAGTGAATTTTAAGAAATATTTATTTTTCTTAATACTAAATCTTAAGGGCAATTAAGACCTATTTAATGTATGTAATTTTGAATGACATTGGAGATTTGTTTAATTCAAACTATAAATATTTAATTATAATTTAAAAATATGAATTCCTGAAAAGATGAGTAGATTTGTGAATAATACATCTAATAAAAATTTATGACACTAACACATCTCATCAAACATAGAGAAATACAACAATTATTATGAATTTCAATAAAATTAATAGTTTTAATACTAATACATTGAATAGATTCGCATAATCAAATAAACAAAATTTACATCAAAATAATGAATAGATTCGCCGAATTTATAAAACAAATTTAATTAAAATACTGAATAGATTTGCATAATTAATGGAACAAATTTATATTAAAATAATGAATATATTCTCAGAATAAATTAAACAAATTTACATTAAAATAATGAATAGATTAGGTAAGCTGTTTGGTTTGAGCCAAGTATATTTAGTAGATTGAACTTTAATGTCTTAGTGATGAAATTTAACGATTCCGATTAAAGTACGATTATAAATTGATATTTGCAAATTTTGCTTCGTAAATTTACTTCGGAAACTTCAAATTAAGTTGCAAGCACTTAAAAGTAGTACGATTAATAATAAAAAAAAATGTAATTGTTAATGAAATGAATAGAATCTACACTTTGTTAATCAATTTCACACGAAAATATTAAATAGCATAATGAATAAATTTGGCACTTAAAACATTAATTGGAACATCTACACTAATATGCTGAATGGATTTAACATCAGTACACCTAATGAAATAAATTTAAACTTATAAGTATAATGGATAGTCTGGGTCTACTACCAGTAATTTCAATCTTTCAACAAGTCCAAAACGCAAATTAATGTTACAGGTAAACAAAAAGTAGATCTAACTGCAATAAAGAGCTAGAAAAGTAAAGTATTAAAAAGTAGGGCTGGGAAATCAAACTCATGGAACTTAAAATTTACAAACGCGACTCTAAAATAAAATAAATCATAAAGCATAGTTGTTACGTCAATTTCTTTTCAATATCATTCATTAAAATTGGATTACATCATATATCTAAAGTATTCATCATTAATTCAAATAGATACGAATATTCCGTTTTAAAGAACGAGTCCAGCAATCACTGACTGAACTATAAGTCCAACTCCATCAAGAAAGGCATTTTTTCAGAAAGCCCGAAATGTAAATTATTGATTTAGACTAACAAAAAGTACATTTCATTTCAATAAAGAACTAGAAAGAGAATAGTGTAAAGAAAATATTTACGGACCAATACGGCTCATTAGTGCATTGAAATAAAATAA